GATGATGATGATGATGATGATGATGATGATGATGATGATGATGATGATGATGACGACGACGATGATGGTGATGATGATGATTCTGATGATAGTGACAGAAAAAGTAACATATCATCTTCATTAAATTGCGTCCCTTTTTCATTTTTGTTTTGTTTGAAAGAATAATACACTTTAAATCAGCAATCGGCACTGCTTCAAAATGACACGAGGCATCCATTCGCTTTGATTGAGATCATAATCTGTTTGAAATAGAAATAAAATTGGTAGTACATTGTTCTGCATTATGAATAACATATTATATTATGATTGACTCATAAAACGAATTCTATATTATTGGGATTGTTGAATTGTCTAATGTTCCTGAAAGGGTACAAGCCCTGCTCAGCACAGGACCAATACCTATTATTGATATGAGTTCTGAATCCAATCCAATATTGGTAAACAGAGAAGAGCAAATTTACTTCCCTGTGTTGACGTGAAATGCTCTGTATCAGCTTTTTTTTTTTAAAACCATTCCAAGATCGCAGCGAATACCGTTCTAATTTCTCTTTGGCTGATGTAGTAAAAAGCATCATAAAGTCTTCTTCTGTACTTCGGATGCACAACTGAAACTCACAACTTCAACGCAGAGAGCCAGGGCATGCTGAAAATCAGTTGGTACCATGCTGGACTACGGAATAGATGGTATTGGTTTTAATCCCAAATGAGGTGTTCTGAACTTGGGATACTTTGGGGAGTTTTAAAGGCTCCTCACCCAGTTGGCTTAGTCCTATAGGAGATGGACGTCGTAAGCATCGCCACTTGACAGGCAAAGGTGTTCAAAGAAACGTTAAAATAATTATACAACGAATAATGCTGACCAGCAGATACCAAGAAAGGATATTTTCTTTTTCACTCTGTCTAAATATTTAGCATGCTTATGACAGGAAAACGACAGGGTTTGTACATGATAAGGTCATCTCAGAACATGAAAAATTGTGCTTACATACATTTCCATTGAACCTCAATTTGTATTTATTCATTTATTCTAAATGTGCCTCATCATCATAATCAAGTACCAGATCTGCAACAGACATCGGCGATCATGGTTTTCCATTCATTCCTTTGCTCGGATGCTCTCAAAACCGCTACCTTACCCTGACCATTCCCTGTTACCGATCTGTTTAGGATATCTTAGTAGGTTATTCTGAGTCTACCCCTGCCTCGTTTGCCTTCAATGTTGCCAGTGAGAGCTAGATGTTTAAAGCCTTTAAGTCAGTTTAGGTGTCCCAAGAACTGCATTAATTGTCTTTCCTGATTGTTTTTATCAGCGAACGGCCAACATGGGCTTCTTGAGTCCTTCCTCATTTGATCTCTTTTCCTTCCAAGACATTCTCAAAGTCTATAAGAAAAAATACATGTTATTTTCATTCATTTATATAACCCTCATACTCTGATAATCATTGTTAGCATGGTATGCATTTGAAACTGGCAGACGGGCAAGGATATTTGTTCAGCAATTTCTATTCTTCCATCTCTTTCTCCCCCTCCTCCCTCTCTCTCTTTACCTACCTACCCAGCCAGCCAGCCAGTGATCCATCCATCCTCCATCCATCCATCCATCCATCCTTCTTTCTATATGTCTATCAACTCCAGAATCGAACCCAGGTCTGCTGCATGCATCATCAAATCACCTAACCGCTACACCAAAGAAACTGGTGCGCACTATTTTTTTAAAAAAGGACAGATGCAACTTTCTTACAGTGAAATTGGCTGCCATTAGGTGCAGACTGCTGAGCTCCATCTGGAACTGCACCCACTCCTGCATGACGAAGGTGACGATGTAGATGTAGACCAGTTTCGTCCCGAACCGGCTGAACACGTTGTCAATACATATAGCGTATGTGCCTGGAATTCAGAGGGAAACAAAAAAGACCGTGTGGGAATCGGGGAGAGACAGACTAGACTAAACGAAACCAAACGAAACTGAACTAAAATAAACTGAACCAAGCTAAAGTAAACCAAAATAAAATATTTTTAAAAAAGTAAGATTCAATTAAACTATATTTGATTAAAAGAAAAAGAAAATAATATAAAAGAATTTTAAAAGATATTCATTCACTTTATTGATCTTTGTGTGTGTGTGTGTGTGTGTGTGTGGTTGGGGGGGGGGGGGACTTCGATTACAATGGCATACCTCATTTGAATGTATAGTGTTTTAAACCCCCTTACGATAAAATTTAGGTCATTTAGAAGAAAAGAAAAACAATTGGAGAATCAGACATTACAGATGAAAAGAAACTATACTTCCACTTTATTGATTCCCGTGGGTAATGTCGGGTTACAATGCATGGCACACATTTTGACCCAAGGTGTTTAATGCACCTATTGAGATAGTTTAGATAATTTCGAAGGCGGGCTTGGGTCCTGCTTGTCAGGGCCAACCGGGGACGAGAAGAATACAACGCCCAAGTGAACATTAACAATTTTTACTCCGTCAGATTTGGACTTTGAGATTTTGAAACAAAATCATCCCCATTAAAAAATCGTCTTTTCATGAAATATTTCATTTTTTAAATTACAGAGTAAGATGTAAGGAAACTTCTCTCGAGACGAAGGGATGACCTCTTTCTGCCTGACAAGGGGCAACGACAAGTCAGTGCAACTACTGAACAGTCCCGCTTTCTTATAAAATTCTGCGAGCAAAGAATACACGACAATATCTTCCAATAGTCTATATTATTTGTGACTTAGCTTGTAACATAAAGAAACACAAAAGCATTACAAAACAAAACAAAAATCAGAAACATAGGTGGATTTCTGTTCTCGAATTTCTGTCTTCGCAACTCAGGACTCAAAATGCGCTCATTTGGGGGGAATGAATATTGCATATTATATCATTTATTTATAAAGGTAAAAAGAAGAACGCCCCATGTTCATGGTCGGATATACCCATTTGTTTCTATAAAGACAATATTGGCGTTCATATGACCTTATGCACTTGCGAGCGCCGTAAAACCTTACTAAAACTAAAAAGACAATATGAACATCGCTCATTGTCACAACTTGGAATAAATCGATGTCTTCTATTGAAAATTGTCAGCAAATATTAATGTTATTTTTCGTAATGGATGGCCTATATTGACTTTAAATGAATTAACGTGTACTAATGCTTGTCTTTAAGTCTGGTTTAAGTTACAAAACCAAACAAAAACCTCCCAAACAATAGTAGAACGATTGTAAAGGTTGTAAAGAAGTTCCAGAACCCCATTAACACAATATAGATCATTTAGGAATCGGCCTGTTTTGACCCTGAAAGCCAAGGCGACATCATAAACTGTCGGATAGAGCATTCCCACAGAAAGAGAGATTTAAACCTATAGAGTACATCTATGGAGAGATACGATGAAAGAAATTCCCACCAGGTGGATCAAATGAGCGTTTGTGCGTGCAACCTTACATCACGAAAAACTGAATTCAGATAACGGAGGTTTCTTTTCATTAAAATTTGGTTAGAGTTTGAAACATAAACTGATTTGCGGGAGTGCAGGTGTGCGCGTGTCCGTTTGTGTGTGTGCGCGCGCGCGCGTGTG